CAGAAAGGGTAAGGCCTTCTCATGGGAGTCAACAAAGCATGACATATCAAGTTGAGGCAGGACCAAGCTCCTCCCCTCCTGCATCAGGGCTGGGTGAGGCATGGGATCATCACCCTAAGCAGTTGTTACAAAAGTATCAGACCCAGAGAGCTGGCACCTTCTGCTTTTACGAGGCTCCTGGTTGGAAGGAAAAGAAAATAACCATATAATAGCCGGTCACGCCCCATTCTGCATGTGAGGTAATATCCTGGTTTAGGTAGATGGAAACAGACTTTCCAGAAGGAGTGGCTAATGAGTAGGGTTTCACAGAACACATATGCACCTTCTAGTTTGCAATGGGAAGAAAGGCTTGCAGGCACAAAGCATGGCATAAGCAAAGATGACCAGGAGCAGAGGAGTTCTGTCTTGTGGGAGAATCAACCCCAGCATCTTGATTATTATGCGAGGTTCTTAAAAGAGCTAGCCTTTGGTGGGTGTGGGGGTACCTGCCTATAATCTCAGTATGCAGAAGGCTGAGGCAGGAGAATTGTCAAGGATTGGAAGCAAGCCTGGGATACATAGTAAGAGCTAGTTTTAAGATGTAGCGGCAGAACAGCAGCAACAGTAGCAACAATGGGAAGGGTACAGACATACATAGGACAGATAGGGCAGTCTTAAGTCTGCACTCCTGCTTGTTCACAGAGGCCTCTGCTATCCTGTGGGTGACTCTGGTCTTGGCAGGAAGTGCTCAAGGGACCAGAACCTGCATCTACCTGGCAAGGTCTCCTGACCTCCATGACTCAGAGCACACTACCTATAGCTCTGTGCATCCAAGGAAGCAAGATTCTGTCCCCAGACTGCAGAGGGAATGAGATACTTCCTTTCTGTTAGGGGGCGAGGCAGGGAGAAGTGATGCTGGAGATACCCTACCCAGTCTCTAGCCTTCAGCTCTCATTCCCACTGACTGGGGGAACTGTTTCAGCATCATTATAGCCAAGATGCTGTGTGCATCCACCAATTCCATGAGTATTGTTTGGGCTCCAGGGAGCTGACACCAGGAAGATGGAAGCTGTGGGAGCTCCTAGGTCTCTGTCACCAGTGAAGATGCAGGATTCAGCCCCCACCGAGCAGAGGGCATGGTGCCCGGAAGACAGCAGGACCCTCATGTCTTCCCTGCAAGTTATTTATAGCCTTGAAATGGTAATTTGTGGCAATCACAGCATTTAATCCTGTAATCACACTGCAAGCAGGCACCCAGCCCAGTGAGGTCGGTGAGCCTGCCAGGGCTTGGGGAGGGACTTGGCGGCAGGGCAGGGAGTGTGGAGGTGGTGATGTCCCTATCAGCCTCCACCCCATCTTGTCATCCATGCCCCACCCTCCTGCACCCTGGATAATACGAATAACAATAGCAACTAACACATTTCACAGGTGTCACCCATAGGAACTCACTTATCTCTGCAGCTCCATAAGGGAGTTATCACTGCGGCATCCCTGCACTCTGGGTGAGGAAACAGGGTTAGGTCACACAGCTGATAAAAGACCAGGCTTGAATTCAGGCCTTTTGGTTTCAAAGTCCATGGTTTTGGAGACCACAGTCTCAGAAGTAGAGATGCCCTATCTACCTCTGCCCCACCCCTGCTATTAGCCGTGACACTCTGGGTTCCTCCATGCACCTGCTCTGGAGGAGCATGCGTGCTCAAGAGGCCATGTGCACCTCAAGACTACTTTTTACTTTGTGTTGGCATTGGCTTCTTTCCCAGACACTTTCCCCGGTGACATATGGTTGTAGAAAGAGGACTTGGGCAGTAGACCCATACTCAATTCATCAGATGCTCTCTGCATTTTCCTTCTGCTGAGAGGGACAGCCTGCAGCTTGCAACTGGGAAGGGCGGGGCACCGCTTGGCTTAGTGTCCTCTTCTATGGAGGTGGGGCCCTCTAGCGGGGACTCCTTGACCTTATTTGTTATATGGCTGACCCAAATGACGTGAGATGTATAAACTATAGAGTTTAGAGTTTACTTATCTGTAAAATGGGGCTAAGGACAAGAGCCATCTAAACTGAGAAGGCAAATGCGGGGGGGGGGTGAGTTGACACATGTCAACCCTTAATAAGGGCTCACTGAAGTGGGCCCATTGCTATTGTCTTTTACTGTCATCCGTCCTGAGTGCAGAATTTAAGCCCCTCCCACTTCAGGCTTAGGGTCAGGTCTTTTGTAGTTAGAAAAAGACAGGATGCCTGTGGGAAGTGTGGTAATGGCCTTCAAATTTGGTACCCAGGAGGCAGGGGCCAGGAGGATGGTGAATTCCGTGCCAGCCTAGGCTGCTTGAGGAGAGCTTGTCTCCTTAAAAACAAGAAGCAGGCATGAGTAAAGCACTTGCCATACGAGTGTGAGTGCCTGAGTTTGAATCCCCAGAACTCACATAAAGCTGGACACAGTAGACTAGGTGTCTATAATTCCAGTATTCCTGCTGCAAGATGGGAAACTGAAACAGAATTCTCAGAAGCTTGCAAGTGACCCTGTCTCAAATTAAGTGAAATGTGAGGACCAATGGTTGAGACTGTCTTCTGACCTCCACGTGTAGGCTGTGTCATTGTGCATATGTATATGCATACATATCTCACACACACACACACACACACACACACACTATAAACTGACAAAAACTAACAGAATCAGAAAAAGTGGCAAGCAGAGTCAGGCCTCAGGAACGTTTGTCCTGGCCTTCTCCCCATAAGAACCAAACTGCCCCATCACCCAGGAACCAATTGTCAACTACACAGAGGCAGCTCAGAGCTCACAAAGCAGTTTCCTCCAGCCCAGGGTTGTGTCTTAAGGAGCGGATGGTTCAGAACTGCTCTTCCCAGCTGAGAACAGCTCCTTGTCTAGAATTCTTTGCAGACTGTTCTCCCTGGACCAGGCTGGGGAATCTTGACCTAGACCTAGGTTAGCTAGGGATGCCTACAGAGTCATGTGAAGGACCTCCACTAACTCTGCAGGGGTGAGACGGGCACTGGGAGGGTTATCCTCATCTAGAATGGACTTCTGAGGGAGAAGGTGAGTTTCCCATCAACAGAGGCAGATACGTACTTCATAGTCCAGCCATGAGTTTCAGCCACACGCAGGCGATAATATCCATCTCCTGGGGGAGGGAGAGGCGGCAGGGTGGGCCGGATGAAGCATACATTGTTTATGTAAAGGGTAGCTGTGGGATATCTGAAATCTCTTTCCATATGAAAGTCTGACTCAGTCTGATGTAACACTGAGCATGGGTCTCAGGCTAAGCATTGGTACGTAGTTCTGGAAAAGTCCAGATAAATATCTTATGGTTTGAGGGCTGTGAGTGGGTTGGCACTACTGAAGTCAGGCCTGTGGTGTGACAGCAGCCATAGATAATTCATAAATGGATGGACTGTCTGTGTGCCAAGAAAACTTTATTTACAAAACAAGTGGCTAAAGACCCCTGTCTTAAAGCAGTGGGATCTCAGAGGCCTGAGAAGTCCTTCCTGGCTGGTAGGTGTTGGCTTAGGCAGCTAGCTGGAGTGAGAGAAAAGCACTTCCAAGTAACCCCAAAGTGCCTGCTTGATGCCAAGTGTCATGCCAGGTGGTGGCCTTCCCTTACTGAGTGTTCACCTTCCCCTGGACCATGGTCCTATAGTTCAAAACCTTGCTATGTCACTAAGAGCTTCGACTGGGTTTGACTATTTTATTATTTGCGGTGGAAACAGAACCCAGCCAGGGCCTTGTGCATGGTGGGCAAGTGCATAAGCTCTCCCTCGGAGCTACACTCGCAGTCCCAAGCAGGTGTTTGTTAATACTTTTTTTTAAAGCAGCATGGAGCTGGAGAGTTAACACAGCGGTTAAAAGCATTTGTTCTTGCAGAGGATCTGGGGTCATTTACTAGCATCCGCATGGTGGCTCACAACCCTTTTGTAACTCTGGTATCAGGGGATCTGATGTCCCATGCTATTCTCCCCTTTGTGGATAACAGGGACACGTGTGTTACACAGTTATGCACTAAGGTAAAACATAAATCATAGACATAAAAAAAATAACAAAACAGCAAGAACAGACTGGTAAAGTGGTTTGGCAGATAAAGACACTTGTCACTCAACCTGATAACCCGAGTTCAGTCCCTGGGGCCCACATGATCAAAGGAGAGAACTGACTGCTGTGGTTGTCCTCTGCATGTATATAAAAACAAATAATGTAAGAATAACATAATACAAGAAAACCCAGCAACAACAACCCCACCCCCAAAAGCAGGAAAACAAAAATCAAAATGGATTTTTTTCTAATGAGTGCTGTGCTTGCACAACAGTAAAGGCTGGGAAGCCCTGTAATCCGCCCTCTGTCCAAAGCCCATGAGACATAGTGGCATCGTTTCTGTCCAAGCCCAAAGGCCTGAGCTGCAGGGGAGTCAGGGAGATAAAGTCCCCAACTCCAGCCAGAAGGTGGAGTCCAGAAACACGATATCCTAAGGCTGTGACCATCCCAACCCTTTTGTTTTGCTCAGACCTCAGCAGAGGGGATGGTGCCTGCCTACCCCAGGGGCTGAATCTTCTCAACTCAGCCTCTGTGGTTAGAGCTAAACCCTCCTGGAAGCCCCTCATAGGCACACCCAGGAGGCACAGGGCATCTCTTAGCCCGGTCACACTTAGATGGCACAAAACACAGCAGCTCTCCAGCTGTTCTCAAGGGGCATGTGCATCAAGTTCCTGGACGGCAGAGGTCTCTAGCACAGCTGCTGTTACTGGTGAAGTAAGCAGGGCAGCTCTTTCTTAGGACATCCTGTCTTGTCTGTGATGGCTGGCCTCAACTGGGCTTCTTTTCCTTAGAATGGCAAAGCCATTTTGTGTGGTACATACTCCAGAGACAGGGTCCTGGACCACGTGACCCTCCCTAGCTCCTGACTATAATACCATCATCTCAATAAATCAGGGCCTCCCTTATGTGGCCAGCTACACCCAGGGAGTGCTAGTGCAGTGGGAGCCTGCCACATTCTGTCTGTCCTCTCTGCAGGAGAACTGTATCGGGTGTCCCTGAGAAGACAGAGGTTCCCAGCCCAAGGAAGCATCGAGATCCACGAAGATGGCGAGGTGTGATGGGTTTCGGAGGCATCCCGTCCGTCTGTAGCCAGCATCTTAGGAAGAACCCTAGGAGAGTAGACAGGCTGCCTAGCCTCCATCCAGTTCTTTTCTGTATGACCCTTGGGTAGCTCCCTGTTCTTCTCTGGGCTTCAGGCTCCTATAGAAACAAGAAGAGTCACTATAGACTCATCTTGCTATGCTGTCCATTGAGGGTCTGGCCCTCCTGGATGCATCAGAGTCCTACACAGGTCATGGAGTGTCAGCCATAGTTCCTGTGTCTCTGTCCTTGTGCATCCTGGGGTCCTGCTGCCTGCCTGTCTCTATCCGTGCCATGTCCCTCTCAGGAAGGCTGCTCACAGCGTTCCTGCAAGACACATGTCCTCCTTCTGGTGCTGCATGGGGGCAACGTCCTAGACACCGGCTCTAGTGACCCTTCCTGTAAGGCGGCCGACATTCACACCTTCAGTTCTGTGCTGGAGAAGGTCATGCGCGCCCACTTCCCTGCTGCCCTGGGCCACATCCTCATCAAATTTGTCCCTTGTCCTGCCATCTGCTCGGAGGCTTTCTCACTCGTCTCTAAGTGAGTCATTTTGGCTTATTTGTATGGTCTGGGTTTGGTGTGGGAGGTGTAAGTGGAGGGGATATCCCTTCCTTGGGAGGTCCATCTGGTGTCAAGTCAGAATTGCAGAGAATCCTTAGTGGGATATGGTCATTAAGAGTCCTCTGTCAAGGAACTCGGAGTGCCAGGGTCCCCACACTAGTCAGGAACCACTTCCTGTGCTTCAGTTTGAATGAAAGATGAAACAGTCCCTGAGAGATTTATCCATTTCCCCCAGCTATGCAGAGAATGGAGCCAGAAGTCACACCAAGGCAGCCTTACTCCAGAGACCTATAGGGATAAGTTCTCTAATGGAGGTAGCCCAAGGTACGGCTAGTACTCAGTCAGGGAAGACTGATTGAATGTCATAATGTGGCTAAGTGTATGTCCTCTTTGGTCAGCCTGGACTTGAGTCCTGACTGTGTGACCTTAAGGAGTTATGTCACCTCTTCCTACCTTAAGTCCTCCATCTGTAAGATGAAGGCGGTGCTAGTGCTGGTGTGCTGGTGAGTCTAAGCCCATCACAGCTCAGGGGAGGTGTCCACACAGAGCTGGGCTGCCACTGGCTGCTGCACTAACATCCTCATGGGGCCAGGGCATGCTCAACCTGTTTCCTGTTGGTGGAGATGAAGATGATAGGGTCCTGAACTAGCTCACAGTAGAACCAGGCTCAGAGGAGCAGGGAGGGAAGGGTCGGTATGACCAAATCACAGGCTGAACACCAGGGCATTTTCTGAACACTAGGGCATTTTCTGCAAGAGCCAGTACATCCCTCCTTTCACTGTGGACCCCAGGACCACTGAGGGGCAGACTAAGAGACCAGGGGCTCTATGGGAACTGGGATCAGTGGGGAAATTCTATCCACCATGCTAGGTTTGAGGGCTCCAATGCCCTAGAGCCCTAGGTGTCACTGTTGAAATAGCTGAAGGTGGGTTCCTGGAGTCAGTTGGACACCTGCTTTCTTTGCAATTGTCTGCAAAATAGTCACTGTGCGCCTGCAGAGCCCACATGGTCTTGACACTGAATAAACTATTGAGACTGAAGCGGGGAGGCCAGACTTTCCTAAGGTGGGATGAAAGGGAGCTGTTGGCACCCCTTGCCTCCCCGCCATGACTTTGGAAAGTCCCTCCTTCAAGTCCCTCCTCCAGGCTTTCTTCCTTGTGTGGAATGGACTCAAAGTTCCAAGAGAAGGGGAGCCGTGTGCTTAGGTTCAGCCACATGGGACTCCGAGCCCAGGGGCTCTAGTGTGGAATGGGCCTAAGAGCCCTGTCTTTCACTTTCAGTGGTTCATGATCTAGCAGGGTCTGGACCATTCCCCTTCCTGTTCACTCCCTGAATGGTGCTCAGAGGCTGGATTTCCTGGGTTCCCAGGATGCTCTCTGGTGGATCTCCATCAGATATACAAGTCAGGAAGCAGGTTAGGTCTATGGCCTCCTAGCTTAGCCAATTGCCCCAGTATCTGATGTGACCCATGTCAAATGCAAGATGTACTCTGGAATCTGATGCTTGACAGGGGCTTGCTGCTGCTCTTCTGTTACAGGATTTAGGAGCAGTTGAGCGGGTGGCCTGGCTATGGTCCCTCACACTCACAGCAGCCCCAGAGTTAATCTTGCTGATCCACAATCCGTCTCAAGACCCACCCCCAGGATGACTGACCTCCAGAGCTGGGTCATCTTTATCTCCAGGAAGATGGATTGCCAGGCTGTTTGAGGGGACAGCAGGAGGGAGCTTACCTCTCCCCCAGGCAACTCTTGCCAGGGCCATTAATCACCCGTAATCACTGCTGGGAGGGAGCTCCTTCTCGGCTAATTAAAATCTCTCCGGCTGCAGTCGAGGCCTGTTTCCTCTAATTTGTGTTATTTGGAGATGAGAAATGGTTGGTGGGGCCTGCCTTGCACAGTGCTAGCACTGCTGAGGGTGCCTGAGCCCTGTCACCTGTCCTAGATTCTGCTGGTCCTTAGCCCCATTGGCCCTGGAGCTAGGCGTGGGGGCTAAGGAGACCGGCTGTTGGCCCCGGGTAGGAAGTTCTTGGACTCCTCCGTGTCTGTTCTGAAAAGCCAAGCCCAACAAAGCTTCAGGGTTGGGTGTGCTGGGGGAAGGAGGCACTCCAGGTAGGGATGAGAAGACAGGTGGGGCTGAGCTGTCTAGAGGGGCGGGACTTGCAAGTAAGGAGATGGAAGGATGCAGTTCTCTGGGGGTGGATCTGTCCCCTGAGCATAGACCACACCATCATACAGCCAGCTAGGTGCCACCTTTACAGTGGAGCCATTGTCCCATCTCAACGATTAGTGCGCCCTCACTGCTTCCTCAACGTCTCTCTCGAGCGTCTAATTCAGCCCCCTCCTCCTCCAGGAGGTCTACCATGATGCCACTTTCCCATACTGCTCTACCTTAGCCGATTTTCTAGGCTATTTTTGAATTGGTATGTTTTTGGGCTCCCACCAGATAGCATGTTATTCCAGGCTGGCATGGGATGGCATATATGGAGTCAGCACAGCCTTGAGTCTTCATCCTTTTTCTCCCTACTTCATGCTTGTGCTTTGCCTGGTGGGACCTATCCAGGGTCCTTACATTTTTTTATGGATCTGGGCCTGGTGCCATGTATGTCCTTTCAAAGACCTCATAGTCCCACACCACACACTTCTTGGTCCTGGCTAGGCTGACTTTGGGTCCCCGTGTCTGCAGCCTGAACCCGTATAGCCACGACGAGGGCTGCCTCAGCACCAGCCAGGATCACGTTCCCCTGGCTGCCCTTCCCCTGCTGGCCATCTCCTCTCCACAGTACCAGAATGCTGTTGCCACTGTCATCGAGCGAGCCAACCACACCTATGGAGAGTTTCTCAAGTCCTCAGATGGGATTGGCTTCAGTGGGCAGGTAGGTCGGCCTGCTTTCTCCCATTCTGTGTCAGCTGCTGCCTAAAAGAGGGGCTGAGGCCTGCTGTAGGCTAGAATTGTAGCACCTGAGATTGAAGGGGGCTTTTGATGGGGACCCCCATTTTACAGACAGAAAAACTGCTGATTTGGAGTACATGCTGACCCTAAACATGGCCTGGCCTGGCCTGATCACTCACCTCAGGCTGACTCCGAAGAAAATCTATTGTCAGGATGAGCCTACCTTCCATTTGCACTCTAAGCAACTCGTTAGAATAGATTCCTTATTCTCGCATGGGAACATGCCCCTGCTCTGCCTGGGTTTGGGGTGAGAGGGTTGTGGCAGGCAAGCCTGCAGCCCCGCTGTACCTCTGCAGGTGTGTCTCATCGGGGACTGCGTGGGCGGCCTCCTGGCTTTCGATGCCATCTGCTACAGTGCAGGGCCCTCAGGGGACAGCCCTGGCAGCAGCAGCCGGAAGGGGAGCATCAGCAGTACCCAGGTGTGGTCAGGCTGGGGGATGGGAGAGGGTGTGTCCCTGGGTGTCTCTCATATGAACAGAGCAGCAGGTGGCTCTCCCAGGGAAGGTAGTGCTGGGCTTTCATGTTGGCATTACGGTGTCTATGGTGCAAAGGGTTATATGGAAATAGCATGAGCATGTTAGCACAGAAACAGGCCCAGGTAGGCCTGCTAGTGTTTGTCTCCCTGAGTGGTCTATCCTTGTGGACACAGGAGATGATCTGGGCCTATTCCCCCCCCCCCCATACACCATGAGCCTTTTGAAAGCACAGTTTTCACATGTTTGGAAGAAGGGGTTCATTTATGCTCAAGGGAGGAGCCCCAGGGCCCCTATGATCGTTATGCTTTCTGCTCAAGGACACCGCTGTGGTGGAGGAGGACTGTGATCTGGCCAGCAGCAAGCGTCTCAGCAAGAGTAACATTGATGTATCCAGTGGAGTGGAGGATGAGGAGCCCAAGAGGCCATTGCCACGGAAACAGAGTGCCTCCTCCACCTACGACTGCGAGGCCATCACCCAGCATCACGCCTTCCTCTCAAGGTAACCCCCAACCCGGCCGCTGCCTTCACGGCATAACAGTATCCATGAGAGTAAGGATCTTGGCTCAGAGTCACCCAGGGGTCTGTGACCAGGCAGTCATCCCAGATCCTTCCACAGAGACCCATAGAAATTCTGGAACCGCTTGTCATTGGCTCTGTGTCCACACCAGGGCATTTCCTGTTCATCTGTGCTCTGTTCAAGCCTGCAGACACTGAGCATGATCTATTCCACTTCTCTGGGCTTTGGTCTCCTCTTCTGCGAAAAGATAGGGTTGCTCAGCTGCTTCTTGGTATATCTTGGAGAATCTAGAGAGGTCACAGATAGGAGTATACTTCATGGAATACCCCGGGGGTTCATATTTATTGTTCCTCAGAGTGTCATACTACTGGGTCCTATGATCTGGGGCCAGCATTCTGCTCTTCCTGTCCTCACATCAGTGTCTTGGATGTGACAAATTCCATAAACTGTCCTTTCACTTTCTAGAGGAAATGGTTGATGAGCAGCTAAATGAACCATCTGTACATTGATTCAGATTGAGAGAAAGGAACTCTGAACATGGACAGAATTGGTACAGGGTAGGGGCACTTTCCTCTCCATTTCTCTTCAGTTCTTCCCTTTCCCTCTCCTCTCCACCTTCCATCACTTGTTCCCTTAGAGATAAGTATCATGAGTTATCAGAAGAGGAGTTTTAAAACATAATTTATATATAGTTTTACTTAAAAACAAAGAACCCAGCCTCTTATACTGTGACCTTTCCCTCATATAATTAAAAATACGTGGTAAAGAGTCTTTTTTGCTTGTTTGTTTTTTTGAGACAGGGTTTCTCTGTGTAACCACTCTGACTGTCCTGAAACTCACTTTGTAGTCCAGGCTGGCCTTGAACTCACAGAGATCTGCTTGCCTCTGCCTCCTAAGTGCTGGGATTAAAGGCGTGCCTCTGCCGCCACCACCACCACCCAGCTGGTAAAGTGTTTAATGCAATATAAATTTGGGTGAATAACTACTTCCTTAATCCCACTAATTGACTACTTTGTGTTCTTCCAGTTCTTTGCAGTCATAAAAAGCACTACATTGGACATCTTTTTAAAACGATTACTTTTAATTTTACTTATGTATGTGTGTGTCTGTGTATGTATGTTCAAGTACCTGCATAGGTCGAAAGATAGCATTGGATGCCCTGGAGTTGTGTGAGCTACCTGATGGTGGGTGCTGGGATCCAGTTGTCTGCAAGAGACTACTGAACCATCTCTCTAGCCCCTAGGCTGGAGGTTTTTATACACAAACATTAATGTATATGCTAGACATACAGTAGTCTTGCCTTGTCCATGGTTTTGTATAATATGTTTCCACTTATGTATGACCAATCATGGTCTGAAGATATTAACTAGAAAATTCTAGAAGTAAATCAGTTCTAAATTGTAAGTTGTGTATTCTACAGAGTAACATGATAAAGTCTCATGCTGTCCTACTCTGGGCATGAATCATGCCTTTGTCCATTGTATACACTCTGTGTGCGCTACTTACCTGTTGGTTACTTGGTTACCATTTCAGCTATCAGATGCCCTGTCATGGTACCACAGTGCTTGTGTTCATGTGACCCTTGCTTTACTTTGTAATGGTTCCAAGGTGTAAGAGTAAATAATGATGCTGGCAATTCAGATATGACACAGAGAAGCTAAGGGGTGTCCTTTCTAAGGGAAATGTGAAAGTGCAACATTTTGTAAGAGACACCTATATAGCTTTTATTACAACATATTGTTACAATTGTTACATTTTATTATTAATTGTTCTCTTAATTGCCTAGTGTATAAATTAAACTTTATCCCAGGTACTTTAAGTATAGGAAAAGGCACCATAAGCAAAGGGCTTGGCACTTTCCACTGAAGTCTTGGGATATGTTCTTGTGATGAGTGGGGACCTCTGTGCTTTCTGCAGGTGGATTCCAGGAAGTGGGATAGGAGGCCTCAGGTTCTGTGGGTTCAGCTTTGAATGTTAAGGCGCCTCTATCCGGTCAGCCTCTGGAACAGTGACCCTGTGTAAAGGAGGGTTGCTATGTGAAAACCTCAACATTTCCGGTTCATACTTGAAACATTCTTTTTTTTTTAACTTTTTCTTTTCTTTTCTTTATTATTATTATTATTATTTTTATTTTAAATAGCTTGCTTCACATGTCAATCCCAGTTCCCTCTCCCTCCCCTCCTCCCGCACCCCCCACCATCCCCCCCAGCCTCCCACCCTATCGTCATTTCCTTCCACATAGGGGATATCTAGAGTCTGTCATTTCACTCAGGGCAGGGTAGGGAAGCCCAAATCCCAAAAGTGCCAGACACCCGCCGCCTTCAGTAGCGAGCCCAACAGCCAGGTTGTTGGGTTGTGGTGAAGGAACAGATGGCTGTTTCTCTGGTAATTAAGTAGTTGACACGTGTTTAGGGACCATGCTGTATGTGAAATATACATGGCTAAGCTTGGGTCGTCATTGGCTGAGAGAGCAGAAGGCAGCGTGAAGACTGGTTGTCCTGTCTGCATGCTGGCTCACTCCCGAGGGTGGACCCCTTGCCTGTAACATTTTAACTGTTACTTTGAAAGCTTGAGTATTTCAGATGGGTTTGCTTTCAGAAGTTGACTGGTGCATCATGTCATTCCCCTGTTGTGGTTTAATTTCTGTACTGTCCCTGGTGCTTGTTGGAAGGCCAGAGAGGCAGCTCTGACTTCTGTTTACCTTCAGTGCCCTGCTCTGTGTCTGTGGCTAAACACAACCCAGCTACACCGGGCTCTTGGGATGAAAATGTGGGATCCTGCTCTCAGGCAGGGGAGTGGGGAGGCCAGGCTGTTTGCACCTGTGTCTGCCTGTTGCCTGGAGCATGAGTTATGGTAAAAGCCCTGGTGCTGGTAGTGCCAGCAATAGGCAACTGATCACTCTGTTGGCCAGGATGGGCTCCTCCTGTGGAAAGCTCAGGGGCTTTCAGGGTGGCTGTTAACAAACAGCGTGGAGAGCCAGGCCTGTCTGTGCAGGGTGTTCAGATGCTCCCAGGTGCTCTTCCAGGTTTCATAAGAAAAGTTGTGGCAGGTCCCAGCTATACAGATTGCTCAAACATGGTCTGTGGCTGTCTGACATGGCAGATTAAGTCCAGGCGGTGGATGCAGGTGGCCCAGTCTTTTAGACTCTTCACCTGGTCCTGTGCAGAAGATGTTTGCTGAACTCTGCAGCAGCCAAATGTGTCTAACGCTGTGTGGATGGTGTCAACAGTGATCTCTGGTTCTGAGTCCCATTCCAGTGATAGAAGGTTGGGTACCCTGCTCTCAGAATGCGGCTGTGCTGCTGAGGGGACACTCCCACGGTCCTGGCCCTCCTCTGAGCTACCGCCCCTCCCTCTTCTAGCATCCACTCCAGTGTGCTGAAGGATGAGGCCGAGGTTCCTGCAGCTGGCACACCCCAGCTCTCTGAGGTCAGCCTGGGTCGCTTTGACTTTGACGTGTCTGACTTCTTCCTCTTTGGCTCACCCCTGGGCCTGGTCCTGGCCATGCGGAGGACAGTGCTGCCTGGGATAGATGGTGGGTATGGTTAGGCCAATGGCTCAGGGGATCAAACTGGTAAAGTGGGAGGGTGGACAGAGTGATGGGGGCAGGGTAGATGCAGAGACGTGAGAGAAGCTGGAGGAGGGTACAGAGGGAGCTTGACGAACTTGACTGTCTCTTCCACGTACCCCTAGATTACTGGCCCGTCTGTCATGTTCCATGAGAACATAGGACACCAACATTTGCCCTATCTCAGAAAACCCTCCCTCCCCTGTCCCCAGCAGACTTCCTGAAGCCAGATAGATCTCAGAACCTCTTTACCCAAACTGGCACTGGTGCCTTTACCCATGTAGCATCTGAAGCCTAAAGCTCTTTCCAGTTCTTACAAAGTAGACTTATGATGCCATTTGACCAGCCTGGGCCTTAGGAGAGTCCAAGAGCAGGAGTGCAGGCTGTCATTCATTACTCTCTGCGGAGGCTCTGAAGTGGGGAGCTGAACTGAGGCAAGGCGGAACTCATGGCCACTCTCAGTGTTGCAGAGGAGCCTTAGGACACCTTGAGTGCAGCAGACTCAAGCCCTTGACACAGGTCAGGTGGGAGGCAAGGACCTCTCTGGAGACACCTGCTGGTCAGTGAAGAAAGTGCTTCACTTGCTCTGTCTTAATATTGAGGGGCCACTAACATGACTGAAGGAAGGGACTTGGATTGGCTTAATAGATCAGGTAGTTAGAGGAATTGAGAGAAGTATCCCTGTGTGAACAGTAAAAGGAAGGCCTGGTGTTCTGAAGAAAGGACTGTTGGAACACCGAGAAAGGGAAGCAGCAAACTTACAGATGTTCACCAGGGTGCCAGTGCTGGACACCTACAATGGTGCCCCTAGGTGGGACAGATTGGCAAGTCCTGTGTAGTGTGATGGCTAGTTTTCCGTCAAACTGACACAAGCTGTATTCGTCTGAGAGAGTGCCTCCGTAAGATCCGCCTGTAGGCAAGACGGTGGGGCGTTTTATAACTGGTGTTGATGCGGAAGGGCCCAGCTCACTGTGGGTGGTCCTGTCCCTGGGAGGGTGGTCCTGGGGTGTGTAAGAAAGCAAACTGAGTGAGTCAGTAAGCAGCATCCTCCATGGCTTCTGCTTCAGTTCCTGCCTCCAGGTTCCTGCCTTGAGTTCCTGCCCTGACTTCCCCCAGTGATGGAGTGTGACCTGAGTGTTGTAAGATAAAATAAACCCATTTCCTACCCGAGATGCTTTTGGCCACGGTGTTTTATCAAAGCAATAGAGACCCTCAGTAAGATTGGTAGCAAGGACCCAGGGGAGGTTCTTGAGCAGGAGAGAAGGCTACTCATGGCTGAATTCCAGGAGCCTTTTAGAGCCAGTAGAAAGGGGCTTTGCATGTGTCTGAGCAGGAGAGAGGGCTACTCTAGGCTGCATTCCAGGGGGCCCTTTAGAGCCATTAGGAAGGGACTTCTGCATGTGTCTTTTTTCCTGCTCACCCAGGTTTCCAGATGCGTCCTGCCTGTAGCCAGGTCTACAGCTTCTTCCACTGTGCGGATCCCTCAGCCTCACGGCTTGAGCCACTGCTGGAGCCTAAGTTCCACCTGGTGCCTCCTGTCAGCGTGCCTCGCTACCAGCAGTTCCCCCTGGGCGACGGACAATCTCTTCTGCTCGGTAGGTCCCGGGGCTGTGAGAGTGTGCTGAGCTGGAGGCTGGCAGTTTCCGGGAACGCTCTTTCTGGCTTAGCCTCTCCAGCTGTCAGCTACGGGGTGGCTCACGGGAGCAGGGCTGTGCGGTTAGAGCAGTGAGTGGCAGGAAGCCAGCTGGCTTCAGTGCTCAAGAGCAGCTGCTTACGCCAAGGACCTGCCTGTGCCAGGGCTCTTCTCACTCCGCATCCTGGCAGGCTCCCATTTGAGCTTCTGTGGCTGAGATTGGGAAAGCAGTGGGGTTGCTGACCCTGAAGGGCAAGTTAAAGGTGCATTCCCAGTGCTGTGTCCCAGTGCCCACACCATACCCTGCAAGGACACATCAGGGAGTGTGTCGTCCTGGTAGGTTTTATGGACAGGGTGACCTATGGCCAGGGCCTGGAGGAGGGGTCTGTTTGGATAGGTACAGAGGCATTGGCGGGACAATAAGAGCAGAGCAGGTGGGTTTACAGAAGGAACAGTGGCTTCTAGGTTCAAAGGGGGAATGTATGTGACTGAGGATATGGGCAAAGGCAGGCAGGAGTGGACAGCTAGGCACTTGGCAATCAGAGTCTTGGCTCCATAGCTCTGTATCTCCATTGAGGAACTCCAGCCTAGTCCTTTTCAGAGGTTTGGGCCAGGGATGAGGGAATGCTATACCTGTGATTCCTTTCAGGGTTAAAACCTACCTTTCCTTGTTCTTCATCTCAAAGGCATATATATTTGCCTAGGACTTCCATGAGGAAGCAATGTCCTAAAGCTCCCTTCTGCTTCCTTGAATGTTCCCTCCAAAAAGGGGATCCCCCAGTCTTAGAGGTCTCTTCCCCTATGACCCTGGCTTGCAGGCTGGAGTCATTTTCATCTACTTTCACCTCAGCCATATGCTTATGTGGGTCATGGGAGGAACATGATGAGAGAGGACATTGTTAAGCATCGCATCATGGCCTCTGCTAGGCCTTAGGCTTCCCTGTAGCTTTTGGGAGATAAGGTGATGCTGAGATCCCCACTCACCGTTTAATAAGAGGTGAAACTTAACAGGGTGCTATGATGGTGTGTGTGTGGGCAGGGGTTGGGGGTGCTGGTGGCCTGCCAGGCCCGGGCTGGCTTCTCTGCATTTCCAGTCTCTTGCCCAGTATAGGGCTGTCACTAAGTAAGCCACTCTGCTGGAGACTCAGTGCTTGCCCTGACCTTTCAATTCCCCCTCCAGCTGATGCCCTGCACACCCACAGCCCCCTATTCCTGGAGGGCAGCTCCTGGGGAAGCCCCCCGCTTCTGGATGCCCCTGCCTCGCCCCCTCAGGCCCCAAGATTCCAGCGCCCAGGACGGAGGCTGAGTGAAGGCAGCTCCCATAGTGACAGTTCAGAGTCCTCGGACAGCCTGGCACCTATGGGAGCCTCCCGCAGTGAGTGAGGTCCTTTTGGGGCCCAGCCTGCATTTGAGGGGCCTTCCTCGGGTGGTGGTGGGTCTGCAGCAGGACAACTGTGGGCAGACTGTTGGGTTGGAGGGGCTGTGGGAGAAGCCATGATGACATTCCTATGTTTTAGAAAAGGGGTGGGAATGGGGGGAGGTATGGGGATGGGGCTGTGGGGATGGTGATGGAAGGAGGACTGATTTGGTTCCCCACTCAATCCTCACTGATTTTCTGGACTAACCCCTTCCCAGGATAGAGCCCCAAATGCACCAGCTAGAGCTATGCTTCTTCTCACCCCCAAACTCAGTGCTGGTATTAAGCCCAAGCCACACGATAGGCCAACACTGACAGCTAAGCCCCATTGCCAACCATTGAGTCTGAGTTCTGATTTTGAATGAAGCTTTGACCTCTGACTACGGCCCACTGAGTTTTGACCTCAAACATAGTCTTGACCTTTGACCCTAAACATGACTCTGATCTCTTGATAATGTGCTGTGCCCTGGCCTCTGCAGACATAGACTGATTCCTCACTTTGGAGAGAGCTCCTGGGAAATACTATGGAGCTGCACTGTGGGATACAGCTATGACTGTCTCCAAGGGCCCAGTCCTCCTTCTAGTGACTAGCTGGGAGCCCGTGTCTTAGTGGAGGGTGATTAGAAGGGCTGGCGAAAGGACAGGAGTCCCCTCCCCCACCAGCTGAGGCCCATCACCACTGAGTCTGCACCTGATGGCTTTTGGCCATTCTGTTCTTATCTCCCTCTTGGCCCCACAGTCACAGCCAAGTGGTGGGGAACCAAGAGGATTGACTATGCCCTGTACTGCCCTGATGTCCTCACCGCCTTCCCCACTGTGGCCCTGCCCCACCTCTTCCACGCCAGCTACTGGGAATCTACCGATGTGGTCGCCTTCATCTTGAGACAGGTACTGTGGCTCCCTTATCAGGACCAGCCCGTTGGCCTCTCTAGGGAATCCCAGGATTCCCTTGAGGCCACATGGAGCAGTTGGCCTCTCTCTGACAGTGCTAAGAAAATACTGGGGCACTGATGCCAAGAGAAGGTGACAGGCCAGAGAAGGGGCTCCTTCAAGAACACCAACTCTGTAGGTACAGAGGAAGTCACGCCTATGTGTCAACATAGAGGTTGGAGAAATGCATGCCTGGTCTCTGAGTCTCAGTGTCTTCGTCTTTAAAAAGGAATGGCAGGAAGGCCAGAACCTGGAGGTAGGGAGCCATAGAGTTGAAGCTAGCTCTGAAGGTCTGGTGTGGATTCACCTAAGTATGGCAGGAATTCCAGCAAAGGAGAGCTACTTATCAGTTGATCTGTGCTTTGAGAAGGAAGCTTTGGGGCTATTATTAGGGGCCCAAGAGAGGAGGCTTAGAGTCCCTGGGAAGTAGAGATAATATGAGAGCCCACTAGGACATGAAAGCTTGGACTAGGTGCCAAGGGGTGGTGACACATGGATTCTAGTGGCAGTACTTACTGAGGTCTAAGCTGAAGGCAGGGGCCAGCTAAGTTGCCCTGTCTTCCCATTGAGTAACCATGGGAGCCATTTCCTAGGACTTTGGCAGAGCTGTCCTGGGCTGGGGGAGTCAAGGCTGTGCTTCTGAGGGGTGAGACATTTGGGGGTAGTGAGCTTGGAGCGTGGGGAAATTATCAGGGCTGCAGATGAAAAGGTGCTGTCATCAGACCTTGGATGTTCTTGAAAACTCGTAAGGCTACCCGTGAGGTCACCACAGTTCAGTGACACGTCTGGGACTCCCCAGGGACACAGGGAAGACCCATCTGAGGGTGGAAGAGGGCATCCCCATAGGTTGGAGGAGAACCTGGAACAAGCATGCAGGTGTGATGGGAGTTCCAGGGACATAGTGAAGTGACTTCAGTGGAGTGCTGGGGACAGGCGTTGGGGTGGACAGGAGGTAGGTGAGGGAGTGGAGACAGAATGCAGAAGTCTCACGGAGAACTTGGTGCCCTGGGAAAGGCATGAGGGTCTCCAATGAGAGGACATTTGCCCCCTTGTTTTTAATTGAGCTATAAACCCTCCCTACCCTACCCTCTTCCCCTCTCCCCTTTCATCCTCCCTCCTACCTCTCACACTTCCAATTTACTCAGGAGATCTTGTCTTTTTTCCCCTTCCTAGATCCATTTATGTCTCTCTTAGGGTCGAGAGGGCATTTTTATATGAGATGAGCAATGGTAGGCATTCTGGGATGTTGAAGAGAATGACTCAGCAGAAAAGGTCTAGACCAGACTAGGGAGTGCTGCTGAAGCAATGACCTTGAGAAGGGGACAGGGTTGAGTTAGGGCTCCAGCTGGCCTTAGGCAAGGGTCAGCTGCAATATAGCAGGGAAGGCAGAGAGCAAACAAATGCTAGTTAGGTAGCTGCAAGATTCAGGCATGAAGCAGAGGCTGCCCCCAAAGCAGAGACACTAATGGGACAGTTCTCTGGCACCGGTGTCCAGGCAGGTAGGAAGAGAGACAGCTCCCAGAGCCCCGCCAGGGTCCAGGTGATGTCCTAGGGAGGCCGGAAGCAGGGCTTGGCTGGCTTCTGTCCGGAGAGGCAGAAGGGTTGAGAACATGCTACTGAGCCCCTTCTCACTTTTGGCTAGGTTATGCGTTATGAGAGCGCAAGTGTTAAGGAGAACACTGGCCTGGATCCCACGGCTCTGAGCCCTGCTAACCCTCGTGAGAAGTGGCTGCGCAAGCGGACCCAGGTCAAGTTGCGGGTAAGAGCTTGTTGCAGTTGTGTTTGTTGGACAGGTGACCACGGGCATCTGGGCAGCCATGTGCCTGATAAGAGCTGTGGTTTCTGGGTAAAGCTTGTCTCCACTCCAACTGGGCGGAGTGCCTGCGTGAGGGAGCAGGTGTGAGCTGGTCTCCCAGGGTCTGGATGCACCTGGAGATGGTAAAAGCAGGGCAGTTGTGGAATGATTCTAAAGACATGGCCTTGACACACATGACTTTGCCTGTGATCCAGGTCTCAGCCATGTACACATCAGGATGAAGATGGGTAGAATTGCCAGAGCAGATCGCACTAGGCTTCTCTAAAGATGGGGTTCTTCTGCAGGGTGTTGGGGGATAAAGAGGAGTTGGGGGAGCATTCATTTACTTATTCTCTCAGCCAACTGCCATCACTGCCTGCACTGTCTCAGTCCCTCTGCTGGGATGGCACGCACCGTCCCAGAATATACTGACACAGCATTGCTCTGGTGAGCAGTTCACTCTGGTGAGAAAGAACATCAAGCATGGATCCCACAAGCAGTCCTGAAAGGCAGAGTGACTAATGCTTCATGAATCAACATTTTTGTGCATGGACATACTTATTGTGATGCAATGCACCTGTCATACATTCCAGCCATTTACAGTGTCAGGGTTTTAGTCTATTCAGAGTTGTATGCTACCCAACCCTACTACAGTCAGTTTTAGAACATTTTTGTCATTTCATAAAGGAAACCCCTTTCCCTGCAGCCCTATTTCCTTCCCTGCTGGTCCTGAGTAGCCAACCAGTCATCAAGTTTTAGTCTCTGCAGACTCACCTATTTTTGACTCTGCTGTTGGTCTCTGTTGTCGAGACTCAACTATTCCCGGCATTCTATGTAAATGAAGTCACTTATGTGTTTGTGTATTCCTTCTTTCACTTAGCAATTCATCTCCTTTTCCTGACTGCATACTATTCTACTGTATCCATATATTCTGTTTACCCAGTTGTCAGTTGGTATGCATTTGGGTTGCTTCTACCTGTTGGCTATTTTGAATAATACTGCTTTACATATTCATCTACACAGTTTGCGTGGGCATATATTTTCATTTTCTTTGAGTATAGATGGGAAGTGGTAATTCTACACTTACTCTCTTGAGGAACTACCCTTCTGCTTTCCATGGTGGCTGCCCCATTTTGGTCCCACCAGCAGTGTCTGAGGGTTCTGATTTTGGCACATCCTCCTCACAACATCCATTATTGTCTGTCTCTCTGACTCTGGTTATCTTAGTGTGTGACTGTCTCCACTGTGGCTGATTGCCTATTGCACATGCTTGCTTCCAAGTACCCATCCATCCTCCACAGTGATCCCAGAAAGGAACCTCCAATCCCATGCCAGGGCAGGCCCCATGACAGATTTCTGTAGCTGGAACTTCTTTCCCATGTGGTCCTGCTGCCGCTTCAGCCCCAAGAAAACACAGAGACTTACATTAACTCATAGACTGTTGGCCAATGGCTAGGGCTTCTTATTGGCCGGCTCTGTCTTAATTATTAACCCATAACTACTAATCTATGTATTTCTATACAGTCCTATTTTACCAGAGAATGTCTGGTGTGTCCTATCCTCCTGGTCTCTACATGGCATCTCTCTATGGTCTCTCTCTGCCTACCTTTCCCAGAATTCTCCTTGTCTCCTAGTTCTGCCTATCTTCCTGTCTCTACTGACCAAACAGTGTTTTATTCATCAACCAATAATAGAAGCATATATACAGAAAAACATCCCGCATCAGGTTTCTCTCAAGGACTGATGTTAATGATTTCTGCAGAGTTTTTTTTTTCTTTTTGGAGTGGGGGGTGAAGGCTGAATCACATGGCTTTACAAGCTAAGAGGAGGTAGATATCACATCTTTGGGGACCCAATAGTAATAGTGGGATGGAGTTGAGTCTTGTTGCTAGGGGATAGACTGAAGTTTGGGAACAAAGGGATGTCAGGACAAGAGAGTGGAGGAGGGGCACCAGGAAAGCAGACTGCAGAGGGTCTTCTGCAAGGCTTGTTTGGTGTGCCACACTCACATTTGGACTTCAGTGGAAGGCATGGGATACTGCCCGGATAGGATCAGATCAGAGCCTTGTAGAGACAGAAGGTCTGTCAGGAGGTAACCCTAAAGTACAGAGATCCATTAGGAAGCTTCTCTCAGAGTTCGAGTGAGACAGTTACGGGCATGACACACACAGAGACTTGACCAGTATGAAGTAAAAAGATAACCAGATTGAGGGACTAGGGTCTCAAAGGCCAGCCTGGGAGTGGTGGACAGTTGGAGCCAACACAGGACTTGGAGCTGCAGAATGCATGGGGCAGAATTGAAAGACAAGGGCACTGAGATATTGAGGGAGGGAATGAGTCACCACCCAGGACATTGCCCTGAGTATCCTGTGCGGGTCTGAGGCTTCAGGGAAAGGAGACCTGGGCAGCAGTCAGCTGATTAGTGCCTGTGCTCTGGTCAAGCTCACAAGCTTGTCTATATTATTCTTTCTATCCTTGTGCATTTGAAATTTTCCATTAAAAAAGACACATGGTAAATGGCTGTTTATGCAGAAGAAAGACCCAACGGTGACTGGGTAGTTCCAGCCCAGGAATCAAAAAACGAGTGACAGGCTGTAGAGGCCAGTTGTCACTTCAGGAGGTGTGCATACTCAAGTGCACCTCAGTAGGCAGCCTGAGAATCAGGTTTGGTAACTCACAGTCTGTTTCTGGAATCACAGTGCAGGCAGCTCATGGGACACCTGATTCAGTTGGGTCACAGCCCAGAAGCCATCCTTACAAGACTTTAATGATATAGCGAGAGTGAGCCTTGTCTGCAAAGGCTGAGCTGTTTCTTTCTGTCCTTGCAGAATGTTACGGCGAACCACCGTGCCAATGATGTCATTGCTGCTGAAGATGGCCCCCAGGTTCTGGTGGGGCGCTTCATGTATGGCCCTCTTGACATGGTGGCTCTGACTGGAGAGAAGGTACCAAGTCTTGAGCATCTCCTTGGCTCACCTGCCCCACATGACTCATAGTACCACAGGGTAGAACGGGTGATAGGAGCAACAGTGCTGGAGCCCAAATCAGGGAGCCCCTTCCCTGCCCAGCAGATTAACAAGGGGTAAAGGGAACTTAGTATCTCCAAAGAGGAGGGGAAGCCAGTGTGGCCACCACATGGAGGGAGAGTTATAGGAAACTCCAGGATACAGCGGGCAGGGACCTGTGCCCAGGGCTCTGTTGTTTTGGCTGTCAATCGTGTAGTCCTTCAGCCTTCAGCAGGTCCCTTGCTTCCCTCACCGGCTGCAGGTGGACATTCTGGTGATGACAGAGCCATCGTCAGGCCGCTGGGTCCATCTGGACACAGAGATCACCAACAACAGCGGCAGGATCACATACAATGTGCCCCGGCCTCGGCGTCTGGGGGTTGGTGTCTATCCTGTAAAGATGGTGGTCAGGTAGGACCAGGGTGTGTGTGAGGTTCTCATGGTAAACTTTTGGGGTGGCTCTCATCTCCAGGCTTGACCGGAATATAGAGTTTATTTCTGTTTACATGGAGAGAGGAAAAGGGAAGAGGCCACCAGTCATGGTATCAGGAGGCACCACCCAGAACCTGGCTCCAGATGGACTAATTTTAGCTGCAGGCTGACCTCAAGCTGATACCTTTCAGGGGTGACCAGACCTGTGCGATGAGCTACCTCACAGTGCTGCCCCGAGGCATGGAGTGTGTTGTGTTCAGCATCGACGGATCCTTTGCGGCCAGCGTGTCTATCATGGGGAGCGACCCCAAGGTCCGGCCAGGTGCAGTGGATGTTGTTCGGTGAGTGTTAGCTCCCCTAAAAAAGGTTTCTCCCCAGGGCAAGAGCCAGCAACTTTGGGGGAATTGCATTAGCCCCTCTCCCAGCTTTCTCTAGGACTTCTGTGGGTCTCTAGGCCTAGGCACTGCAAAGTTCTGGCTCTACCTCCAGTAGTCATTTCCTGGGAGTCTTTGGAGAGATCAAGGCCTTTTGTAGACTTTAGCTCATTCATTTGTTCCTCCCTCCTCCACTTCTCCTGGGCATCCTTTCATACACTCCCTGCCCCAGTCAGCTCCAGACCAGGCTCTGGTTTAGGTTCTGCTGTAAAGATTGCTGCTGGTTGGAGACTCTGAGACCAACAGAGGAAAATAAACCAGGGATGAGAAATAGTCATTGGTGAAAATGGAGGTTCAGACCCCAAGAATGGACAGCAATTGGGGGGAGCACTGGGAATAGGGACAGCTGGGGTAGGGACTTCCCTGCCTTACTTGGGGAGAGAAACTGGGCAGACTTTGGGGCTCTGGAGAGACAGTTGTCTCCAGCTACTTTCTGCTCTGGAGGAGAGGTACTGCACAGCCTGCTGGGAGGGTTGGCTGGTTTATCTCACAGCAGAGATGGGAGCAATGCTCTCTCCCTCTGTGGTTCCTCTGTCCTCTGACACCATGCTGCCACCCACACCTTGCTAGTTGCCAGACACTGCTTTCTCTGAGTCAAATACAGATCCCACCTGCCTGGGGGTACCTCTGGGGGCTCCCACACAGACCCCACCTGCCTGGAGGTCCCTCTGGGAGCTCCCGGCATCCCTGTAACACCTGCATTTTCCCAGGTGGTCAGATCACCATCTGGCTTTAGGAAACCCAATCTATGGCAGCCAGTTGGTGGGTAGTGCCGCAAAAATACCTACCCAGGTCTGGATTCATCTGTACCTTGGGCCACCCATGAAAAACAGGGTAAAGAACTGATTCTACCTGGGAAGTGAAGAGAATTTCCTGGAAGAGGGATCCTGAAGGATGAAGAAGTAGACGGCATGCTGTCTAGAGGAGGGTCCTGAGCCAGGAGCGCAGGGTTTGTACAGGGATGTCAGAGCAGTCCTATGTGGATAGGGAGATTCCAGTCATTGGGGAGAGACCGAGAGTAGAGGGAGGCCTTGAAATATTACTTCAGCATTGGGGAGCCAGGCGTAGTCTCAGGAAAAGGAGCAATGGGGTTGGGTTTATGGTTTATAAAAATTGCCATGAAACAGTCAAGGATAATAATGAAGCCAACTCTGCCAGGCATACCATGCCAGCTGGGGTTGGGATTAATGCCTTTATCCTTGGAATACCCCCATGGGGTGTTTGGATGATTACTCCCATCTTACAGATGGGGAAACTAAATGAGAGAGAGAGAGAGAGAGAGAGAGAGAGAGAGAGAGAGAGAGAGAGAGAGAGAGAGAGACTGAGAGAGAAGTTCAAGTTTACACAAAGTTAGATCCAAATGGGAGAACCAGAAGGAAAGTGGCCAACAATGACTTTTGTTCTGGTCCATGGGAAAGATGGGGTGGAACTAAGGACCAGGCACTGCAACCTCTGGACTGGGAGTATTAGAAACCCTCTTGTTAGTGGAGAAGGCAGAAGCAAGGGAGGTAAAGGAGAGGAACCAGATCAGACCAGTCCTTATGGGCCATCCGGAGGTAATGTACACTACTCGTCCACTGGGAGCGAGGACTTAAGAGCCCCCTTACTACTACCGCTGGCTTCTCCCAAGGGCAGCAGCAGTTAGGACAGGTACTTGGGCAATGGGCAATGGGTTGCCTTCAGGGACCCAGCCAGACCCAGCAATGCCATCTTGTCAGGCACTGGCAGGACCTGGGCTACATGATCCTTTACATCACTGGGCGGCCAGACATGCAGAAGCAGCGGGTAGTGTCGTGGCTGTCCCAGCACAACTTCCCACAGGGCATGATCTTCTTCTCGGACGGACTGGTGCACGACCCGCTGAGGCAGAAGGCAATCTTCCTTCGCAACCTCATGCAGGAGGTGAGTGAGTGACTGGGGCGGGGCTGTGGCCACACCCACGTGAAAGGCGGGGCCTCGGCGGCAGGCCTTCATTAGCTAAGGGGGAGTTGACTCTGGACCCTTTTCACTCTCTTCCTCTTTTCAATCCCAAGGGGTTGGGCATCGGGATCCTTTGCTGGTGTAGGGCAGGGAAACACATTTTGATGGCAGCATGGCTCTCACTGGGTCGTCTTAACAGACTTAGGAGGCAGGTATTATCTTTATTGGCAGATATTCACGTTTTATCTTCTCCTGACTCCAAGACCTAAATTCTTGTCTCTACATCTGGTTATTCCTTCAGTAGATTTCGCAATGCCTATTGAGACCTTTCAGGCTTTGTTGTGTTCTCCCTGCAAGGTGCTGGCGTTCTAGTCTGCTTTCCTGAATCTGTTGCCGCAACTAGGAATCATTTAAAAAGGCAAATTCCTAGGCTTATCCAGGTAGCAGAGACTCTGGGAGGAGGCTTGGGACATCTTTGTGCAAAGCCCTCCATGAAATCCTGACCCTGCGGGGTTGGGAGTAGGGCGGGGTGTGGGGTGGGGAGATTGACTCACAGATGGAAAGCAGGAGTAGGCAAACGAAAATTACACGAGTTCGAATTTCAGAGTCCATAAATAAAGTTTTATTGGCATCCAGCCAAGCTCATCTGTTTATGTATTGTCTGTGGCTGCCTTCACGACGCAGTGAAAGAGCTGAGTCGAGTTGCTGTGGCAGAGCTCAAAGCCTAAAATATTTACTCTTTGGCTTTTCGAAGAAAAAAGTCTGCCAATCGCTGATCTAGAGAAAGAAAGGCATGTAAATTGACAATTACTGGTGTGTGGCAGAAAAAGGGCAATATTGGCAAACAGAGGAGCAAGGACTTAGGTTCGCCTGGGAAAGCCCGAGCAGATTCTAGTAGGTAATAACTTCTGGGCTTAGTCTTGACATATGAGTGTGAGTTGTCAGGCAGACAATGAAACGGCATGCGCTGGGCATGGGGACATGCAAAGAGGTTGGGATGGAAGGGAAATCAAGCTTTATTTGGAAATAGATCTGTGGGAGGATATATGTGCCATAATGGTTTATGGGACTACTCAAAGAGGCTGAGGCAAGGGAGATTTTTAAAGGCAGTAATAGAGGAGGATGACAAAATATATCCTAAGACAATACTGTTTGGCCACAACAAATAATAACAATGGCAGCCTCTGTCTGAGGATGAGCAGACAGGAGCTGAGAAAATGTTCTTGGAGAAGTATTGTTTGTGGGGTTGCTGTCGCCTTCTTACAAGTTAATTTTTGTATTTTAGACCAGGTCTCACTGTGTAATTCTGGCTTGCCTGGGGTTCCTGATGTAAACCAGGCTGGCCTCAAACTCACAAAGATTCATTTGCTTCTACCTCCCATATGCTGGGATTAGGGGCATGTGTCACTATGCCTGCCACTGCAGGCTTTTGTGTAAGGTTGTGGTCCTGGCAGATTGTGTGTGTGTGTGTGTGTGTGTGTGTGTGTGTGTGTGTGTGTGTGTGTGTGTGTGTGTGTGTGTGTGTGTGAGAGAGAGAGAGAGAGAGAGAGAGAGAGAGAGAGAGAGAGAGAGAGAGAGAGAGAGAGAGAGAGATTAACAGGCCATCATGGATGTGAATACCTCCTTCATAATCTCTTGGCTTGGTGTTTTTGACAGGGTTGACCCAGGTGATTCTCTTATGATTTTGATGACTTTCACCAGATGCAAAAGTGTGGGGGGTGGGGGTGGGAGGGAGGTAAGAAGTAGCCTGGAGTCTTCTCAGAGCTGAAGGAATTCAGGACAGGGGTATTGCAAGCAGGGTCAGATCAAGGACAGGTGGGAGCTGAGACCCTAGAGGTCATGAGGGACCCAAGTTTGGTAGGTTTAGAAATCCCTGAAACCAGATCAAGATCTTGGGCTCTCTGCTGAGGGCAGTGTGGAGTAATGGGGGGAGTTCGGACTAGGGCAGTGACAGCATCTAATTTGTGTTGTAGAAGGATCCCTCTGGCAGCTCACTGGAGAAAACACTGGCAAAATAAAGGAGGGAGTGTAGTTAGGAGGCTGTTACTCCAGCAAGAGACAGAAGATTAGAATCCAGACAGTAACTATGAGATGAAGAGAAAAGCATGCTCAGTCAGGAGACTCAGTAGGTGGCGTTGTCAGACTTGGGAATGGTTGATTGTGGGCAAAGAGCTCTCAGTTGTTCTATTACATGGCCAAGAGAGATCAAGGTGTCACTGGGTTTATTTGTGTTGTTCGAGATCTATCTCCAGGATCTGGGGTGATGATGACACACAGTAGGTGCTCAATAAGTGCTAGTAGAATGAATACATAAATGAATAACTGGATGAAATAAGAAGGAGGAGGACCAGGCAGGGAGAAGATGAGGTCAGATCTGGACATGAGGAGGCTGATAGGGCCGTGGATCATGAGCCATGTGAGTCCCCGCACAAGGATCAGAGCAGTCAGTAGCCTGGGCTTCAGGCAGAGACTGGAGCCCTGGATATGAGTCAGTGGAGCTGTGTGGGGGAAGGCACCACCCAGGAATGGTTGGAGCTAGGTGAAGCCGTGCTGTGTTTCTGAGTGCAGTGTGAGAAGCTGGCTGAGAACAGGGAGGACAGTTGGAAAGGAAGAGGGCCAGGACAGGGAGGATTTCAAGCAGCAGGCTCTTTCTTGTGAAGGTGGGACAGTGACAGCTGTCCAGTGGCTGAAGCCTAGCCAATGGCTAAGCTTGGTGAGAAAAGGACACCTCTGAAGACCAAGGAGATAGAGAGACAGGATGCAGAGTGAAGGTGGGTCTCAACGGAGCAGGTTGTAAAGGTGGGAGACAGCAGGTTCTGCATGTGGACAGTGATGAACCTTTCTTTCTGTCCTGTGTCAGAAACTTGATAACTAGACTTGAGGCAGGAAAGGCTTTTGGGGCCATGATTCCGGAGGTGTCGGTCTGCAGCCTGCTGGCTCCATTGCTGTAGGCCTGAGGTGGAGGTAAAATGTAGTGGTGGGAGTGGCAGAAGGAAATTGCTTGCCTGATGGTGGCCAGGAAACAGCAAGCCAGAGGAAAGCTTCCTCTGCCTATTCCATACCTGAGTCTATTCAGCTATGAACTCATCAGTGGATCAGCCTCATTGATAGGGTGGGCACATGTCAACTAGTCCCCTCTCAATGGCATTACCAGCTAGAGACCAGGCTTACTGCACATGTGCCTATAGGCTATACTTCATATTTGAATCATAGCTGACAGTGTCATCTCAGTGATGACAGTGCTTTTAAAATGGCAGAAACTGCAGCTCAGACTTAAGTTCCTTGTCCTAGTTAGGGTTACTATTGCTGCGATGTAACACTCACCACGACCAAAAGCAAATTGGGAGGAAAGGGTTTACTCTGCATACACTTCCACATCATAGTTTGGCATTAAGGAAGTCAGGACAGGAACTTGAACAGTGTGAGAACCTGCAGGCAGAGGCTGATGCAAGACCACAAAGGGGTGCTACTTACTGGCTTGCCCCTCATGGCTCATTGAACCCACAACCACCAGCCTAGGCATGGCGCTACCCACAGCGGGCTGGATCCTACCCCATCAATCACTATTTTAAAACATGCTCTGCAGCCAGATCTTATGGATGCATTTTCTCAGTTGAGGTTCATTCCCTCCTTTCAAATAACTCTAGCCTGTGTCAAGTAGACATAAAATTAGCCAGCACGTCCCCAGTGGACACGGTTGGACAAAGGGTGACACTGATAGGAGACACACAGTGAGAGTAGTTGGACAGGGAGTGCCACCAGTTGGGTAGGTGGGAGACTAAGGCAATTAACTGAAAGAAGGTATCCCCAGGGCAAAGAGGGCAAATCTCTAAACTGGGTCTGCACTTTTGGGGAGCTCAACAGACTAGCTGTCAGGAGGCGGGGGGGGGGGGGGGGTCACACGGCCAGTCCAGAGCTTGCCTCCAGTTTAGGGTCCATAGTGCATAATCCTGGAACTTAACTTCCTTATCCTCAAAGGGACACTTGGCTCCACCGTGGCAGGAGTGTGGGGTGGGTGGGCCTGGGGGTTGGAGCTGGGTAGTGGAGGAACTGGGGAGGGAGGGGCGGTCATCTGGGGTGTGGCTCCTAGCAAAGGCGGACTGATGATTTGGTGTCTGAGTTCAGATGGACGGTTCCCCAGCAGGCTTTCCGTAGGCCTTCCTTCCTCTTCACCAGCTTGCTTTGCGTTTCAGTGCTTCATCAAAATCACTGCTGCCTACGGGTCCATGAAAGACATCTCTGTCTACAGTGTGCTGGGCCTCCCTGCATCCCAGATCTTCATTGTGGGCCGGCCCACCAAGAAGTACCAGACCCAGTGCCAGGTGTGTGGGGGCCAGGGCAGCTCCTGATCTCAGTTACTTGCTCATCCTTTCATTTGCTCATTCATTTATTTCTATTAAGCAGTGCCTTGGGCCAGGCCCCCTGCTGGACGCAGGGGAGAATCCTGCATCGAGGGGAAGGGGAAATGGCAATGACTGTTTATAGCAGAGCAAGTGCCATTCTGAATGATAGAATGATGGGGCCCAGGAGATGAGCCCCAAACCTAGATTCCAGGGCAAAGCTGACCTCCGGGAAGGGGTGGGGAGGACGATGAAGGACAGTCAGAAAGAGCTTGGGGATGTGTCAGAGTGCCAGGGTATAAACAGAGGTGCTCAGCGGTCCACGGGAACCCTAGAACTGTAATGAGCCTCCCTGCTACTGCTTTTGGGATCCCAGAGAAGCTACAGACACTCTTGGAGGGTACAGCAGGGAAGTGGCGATGTTGGGGGACAGGGTCAGGTGCTAGCCTGATGCTTGTCCCCTCCACAGTTCCTGAGTGAAGGCTACGCCGCACACTTGGCAGCACTGGAGGCCAGCCACCGCTCGCGCCCCAAGAAGAATAACTCACGCATGATCCTGCGCAAGGGCAGCTTCGGGTTGCACGCTCAACCAGAGTTTCTGCGCAAGCGCAATCACCTGCGCAGGACCATGTCGGTGCAGCAGCCGGACCCACCGGCCCCCAACCCTAAGCCCGAGCGGGCACAGAGCCAGCCCGAGTCCGACAAGGACCACGAGCGGCCGCTGCCCGTGCTCAGCTGGGCGCGCGGGCCCCCCAAGTTCGAGTCGGTGCCCTGAGAGGTGGGCGGTGCTCAGAACAGTGGGGGCAGCTAGGCAGCCTGCAGGGAAGGGAAGGGTTACCTTCTCTCTGACACAGGCGTTTTCCTGCTTTTTCCCTCCTGTGTCTGTCCAGCAGTGTCCGACCAGAGCAGGGAGGGACCTAGCCCTGACATTGGGGAGCTCTCTGGGCCGCGATGGGGTAAAATCCATCTCCCCATGCCTGTGCCCACAAGCCGGAGTCAGGAGTGATGTGTGAGTGTGACTCTTGGGTCAAGCCTGCCTGTGCCCAGTGTTTGGGTAAAGTCGACCATCTTTTCGAGTCCCAAGGTTTCTGTAGCCCCGCTAGGCAGGCTCAAACCAGATAAGCTCCCAGCGCTGGGCACACGGCCGGACAGGTGTTTGTCCCCAGCGGCTTGCAGGTGCAGCAACTTGACCGTGTGTAGAGGAGTGAGTGGCATTTGTGCCTGCTCTCCTTGTGACATCGGGGGCACCACTTTGGTGCTGGCTGTCTTGTGACTGCAGTGAGGTCATTTTGCGGGAGAGGACATTCCCTGGGTTCAATCTATGTATGTGGAGTCTGTCCACGACCCAGGGGACCCGGTCTGGTGCTGACTGTCTTGTCCTCTGTTTCCCTTCTTGTTCTCAGTGTCTTTATTCTCCTGTGGCCCTTGGGGACAGGTGTCCCTTTTCCTTGAGTCTTGCCTTGAGCGTTTCCCTGAGAGGCTGCAGCCATGGACTCCGGTCCGAGTTGGTCTGGCTGTGTGCCCTGGAGTCTGTAGCATATCATCTTTGGACCCTGCCCTTTTCTGTAACTAGAAGGGGCCTCCTGGCTGAGATGGGTCCTGGGTTTGACTCCTAGGCTGTCCAGCATTTCTTCACTCTGGGGCTTTACAAAGTGAGCCTCCTCCTCATCCCATCCCTCCCCACCCCGGGAGAGAGATTCTGGGGTGGGGCTGAAAGGGAGCCCAGACCTCAGAGGAAGGAAGGTACTACTTCAAAGAGAACATGCTGGTTTGTGTACACGGAGGGAAACGGAAACTGCTTCCTTCCACCAACAAGGGGGACAACATGGCTGCCCCTTCCATAGCTCTGCTCTGACTGACTCTTACACTTTAGGTTTCTGGAATGCATAAAGCTGAGATCTCGGGTTCTGGAGGTTCATGGAATATTGGCTCAAGCTGTTGTAATCTCTTCCCTTCCCTGGCCACTCAGTTTGGTTTGAGCCTAGAACCTCCTCTAGGGTAGTCAGACCCCTTAGGGTGGTGGCAGGGGATGTTTCTTTGCTGCCAAGATCCTGGCCTTGGCACAGTCGGCCCTTGCTCCCTGGCCCAGGCTGAACCCTGTTGTATGGCCACCTGGGTGGCTTAGAACCCCCTGTGCTGCCACGGAGGCCAGAGCCAAATATCTGTGTACACAGCAGGCACTTGTCAGCTCAGTGTCGCTTCTGTTCAATGTCTACCTCTTGCAGCTCCCATGCAGCCTGTGGTGGCTGCTGATGGGGGTGGCTGGCACCATGTGGTGAGTTGCCCAGCAAACTGGGTGCCTCACTTAGGCTGGAGGGGGTGTGGGCTCCCAGGACCCACCCCGCTGTTTCCACTCCAATGTCTTCTCCAGCCTGCCAGCCCCTGTTCCCCTGCCCATCCCATCTATCTGCCAGCTCTCCCACTGCACTGTCAGCCCTGCATTTGGCAAACAGAGTCCATCACTGCCAGGGGGCTGCAGAGAGGGCAAGGAGGTATGGGACCAGCTTTAGCTTCCCTTTCTGTCCTGCCTCCTAGAAGTTCATACCTGCCCCCATTATTCCTTCTAGAAGTTCATACCTGCCCCATTATTCCTTCTAGAAGTTCATACCTGCCCCCCATCATTTCTTCTAGAAGTTCATACATGCTCCCACCACCATTTCTATTAGAAGAAGCTCATCCCCCCCCCCATCATTCTTGCCTATCTTTTGTCACCAGCTCATATGGTATAGCCACCTGAGTTGCAGTCCTTTCCCCTGAATGCTGTGATTTGAGCTTGGATACACCCGAATGATTCTCTCACAGCCCTTTGTCTCCTCTCAGCAGGAGCCACTGAGTCTAACTTTCAAATGACAAGTGCTTCTTCCTTTTTTGAGAACCCCAGGCTGAGTGTATGTGTGAGTGGGGGACCCCCAGAGAGAATGGAGCCAGTGACAGGGCTCTGTGGGTCAGAGCCAGCCAGAGGCCCCACCCCTCTTTTGCTAGAGCCCCACATTGGGGCTTGGGTGACCCCTTTTGAGATGCCGCTAGTGTCCAGGTGTTGTGACTACCGCCCTAGGAACTGCTGCGGCCCGTGCGGGGGAAGTACGCACTCGCTGCGCGGTTGAGTGCGCAGCTTAGTATTGCTGCCCGGCAACTGTACTCCACGTATGCTTTTTACTAGTGCTGTGTTAGGTCAGAGACAAAAGGAGCTGATTCCTAGTGTTCTCCAGAGGGGAGTGCTGTTGCCTCCTCCAGTAGTTCCGTGACACCCCATCCAGCCGTTTTCTAGCGACCTCTAGCTCCTGGTGTGCCTGCTCTCCAGCTGCTGGAAACATGTTCCTGCTTGACCAAAGTTCCCGTATCTGAGTGGCATGTTTGTTCTTCCCGTGTGGTGACTGTCCTGACCTGGCCGAGGGATGCCTGACACCTTCCTTTATCCCTTGTCCTGTTGTGGGTTGCTGGAGCCTGCTCTTTCAGCCTCGTGCCCCTCACCCACAAAGGTTGACCCCTTCCCGAAGCATCACAACATATTTTTTAAGAAATAAATTATTTTCATGCATTCAGACGAACAGCCTTCCTGCCTGGGTGCTGGGTTACAACAAGTGTATCTGAACCCCAGTATTGCTGAGATTGGGGTGGTTCTCCGAAGGAGGGAAGGCTGAACCTAATGGTTTTTAAACTGTACTTGGGGCCCTTTGTAGCCCAGAGCTGTGCCCCGGGGGAAGTATCCTGCAGACAAAACATGGCACCTAGCTTTCACTGAGGAATGGGCCCTGCCAGACCAGCGCGTCCAGGTCTGGAGGAGGTGCCACTTTTGCAGGCATACTCTCCATCCAGCTCAGGTGAAGCCCCATCCGGGAGGGGCCCCCTGACTGTAGGAGCCTTGCAGTTGACCCCGCCTTAAACAACCACTTTCCAGCGGAATTCCCGGGGTTCCATTCCAAGTGCTCTGGAAAATTATATATATCCCATTTCTTTCCCTTTTGGTCTAGGGAGGAATTTCTCATACACCCAAGTTAAGTGTTGAGTACAAGTAGCAGAGCCCTGCTGAGTTCTGAGCTTGCTGGGAAACTAACGGGGAGGTTGGGAAGAAAATCGGAATTTGACTCCGCCCTGTGGTGGCACGGAAGAGGTGGGGACACGAAGGAGCAGGCAGTGTAGGAACAATGGCTAGAGTGGGACATGCCCCCTGAGACCCAGGCCCACTGTTCCTTTCTCTGTGTTTACTCAGTGGTGGCAGCCAGTCTGACCTTGTCTGTGGTCTGCTTGTCCCTGTGTGTAACTTCCAGTACTCTCTGTGACGGCTGGTTCTGTGCTAGAAAAGGCTTATTATAGTCCTCATGGCTGCCTTGTACAAAATCCGTTAGAAAAGAAAATGTAAAATATCCAATTTCTAACAAGACAAAAACAGCATTATGGAGTTAAAAGATTTTTACAATTGGTCTTGATTTTGATGTGAGCTGTTTTTAACTCTGAAACGTTGTCACTGAAATAAAAACCTAATTTGCCTTTAACATGTGTTTCATTTTGGGCTACGTTGGAAAAGTTTTCTTTACTTATTTTTATTTTATGTGCATTGGTGTTTTGCACGGGTGTCGGGTTCCCCAGAACTGGAGTTACAGACAGTTGTGAGCTGGCATGTGGGTGCTGGGTATAGAACTGGGGTCCTCTGGAAGAGCAATCAGTGCCCTTAACCACCGAGCCACTTTCTGTTACTTTGGTTCTCTCTGAAGAGAAGAGCAGGAGCTGAGGCGATCGGATCACAAAGCTGAGTTCCAGACATAGGGCTGTGTCATGCAGTGTTGTGTCAGAGTGTGTGTATTAAAAAAAATGCCAAGTGTCAAAAGCAAGATTTATTATGAAAAAGCAATGTGAGCTGGGAGGCTGACACTCTGGTATCTTTCTAATAAAATGACCTAGCATATTTCTTAAATAATTTACAAAGAACAGAAACTGGTCTTGGTCAGTGTTCTCTTCCCTGCATGGCCACAGTGCCCCACACAGAGCTGATAAACTGGCCCCAAGAGCTCAGGTTTGCACAGTCTACAAATATCTCCTCTCTTCCTGTGGGGCCCTGTGGGAGCAGGGGTAAAAGTGGGCCTCCAAGAATCTCTTCACTGGGAATAAAGGGGATGGTTTCATGGTATGACACCCGCAGGGCTTTGGTCCTAGTGACACAGCTCAGAACTGTCTAGCATCTTCAGATACATTCCTAATATGGATCGGCCACTGTGAGGCTGAAGAGCAGGGTGAGTATGAGTCCCCCGGGAGAGCATGGGCAGTTCCCGCTCCCTCTCCAAGGTATTCCTGAATCGCTCTTGGGCTGTGGTCAGTGGTTCTGGATCCCCTGTTAGTCAAGTCCTTGTTAACAGTGGCCTGGGGATGCTGATGAGCCCAGTGCCTCCTCCTGGAAGTTCATGGGGTGGCATGGACATCGTGGTGGCCTGTTTCCTGTAAGACAGAGTTTCCATTGTGCTTCTCCCTATCCTCAAGGCAGGGGGTGTAGGAAGCTATAGCCCTCCTCTCCAAATCAAAAGGCTGGAAGGTAGCTTTCAGTCCTTTGAAATCACAGGGTTCTGATGTGATCAGTAAGGGTAGCAGCTTGGGCTGAGGGAAGTAGAAGACCCAGATACTTCCTACTCTGCGGTCTTCTCAATCCATTCACTTCTTTAACACTCCTGCAAGTCTGCATGCATATTTACAGGTAGAGAAGGAGCAGGTCAAAGAGGAGGAGGAGACTGAGAAAGGAGACTTTACCTGTAGGATGCCTGCTGTCCTCATTCACGGATAAGGGAGACAGTCATATCACCACTAAGGATAGAGAAGGGGGGGAGGGACTGATGACCTGGGATGCTTCATGATCTGAAGGCATCCCAACTCAGACTAGACAAGACCAGAACCTGGGAGCATGGTGGGAACATGGCCACAGGGGTCATAAGGCCTCAGAATCCTTTGTGGCCATTATACAAATGGGAAAATAGTTTTCAAAGGCTCTGCTTCCAGGTTGGAATCCTGAGCAGATAGACCAGGGACTCCATAGCAACCATGTTACTTTTAAGTCCATGGGTAGACAGGGTATAGAGGAGCCGTGAAAGGTATTGGAGGAAGGGAAGGTCTCTCAGGAAGACCTTCATTGAATGTGAAATTCAATGTGATGGGCAAAGGTGAGGGTTCAAGGCCTGGAGGACTCAGTGCCTCCTTCACCATCATCCCAGGAGACTGAAGCACAGAGGGACAGGGACTGGTCTTAGTCATGTGGCAGATGGTGTTGGAACTAGCACTCTCTCTAGAAATACAGTATGGCTCAGGGGGCCCATGGCCATTTCACCCTGACCATAGGATGCAGCTCACCTCTCTTCAGCCTTGATAGCTTTGTCCAGCTTTTGTGACAGCTTCTGGAGATGCTGAATCCCAGCCCCCACGGGCTCTAGGTCACTGTCAGACTCACTGCACACAGGAGGATGCAGGGGTTAGCAAGAGCCCTGAGCAGGGTCTAGGTAACCCTGGATAACTAGGAAAGCTGCCTCACTGCAGCATGTGACATGCAAGCCTGTGTGGCTGAGCCATGGGAAATTATTCTGCAGTCAGATGAGGGCTGCTGCTGGGCTTGCACCTGTGCCCGAGTCTTCTAGATGTCTCCTATCTAGAATGGGGTGGAACTCATCTCCTGTCCCTCTCACAGGTAGGAAAACAGACCTGGAGAAGTTTTTTTTCCCCTTAAGGTCCTCACTAGCTCTGGAGCAGACCTGGGCCAGAACAAAGATGTGACAGGCCAGGGTGTCCTCGCCCCAGGTAGCACTGAGACGTGTGGGACACACAGAAAGGTAAACCATGCTGGGCTCGGAGACTACTTGCCTGGGAGAGCAGAGAGGTTCTGTGGAGGAACAGGGGCTCCGGAGGGCAGCCTCCCTCCTTGGCCGATGACGTCGATGGGCCTGTGGACCCGTCTGGCCAGAGAGGCGAGGATGCCCCCCGACTCTGGCATCCCGGTTGGTCCTGTGTAGCCGAGTGTTCTTCTGGCTCAGACTGGGTGGGGTCCCTCTATCCTTCTGGGCTCCCCGCTTTCTCCTCACTTTCACCTGTGTTTCCATTAGCCACTTGGTGCCATTTTGGCAGGACTCCTGGATCCTCTGTGAGGGGTTCATGTGGGAAGGTTAGCAGCGATGGGACCAAGGTGGGCTGCCAGTCTTTTGCCTCCCTCCAACCTAGGCTCTGTCCCACAGACACAGTCTGCTGTTAGTCTTAAGAGTGACAGTGTGATTCCCGACAAGACCTTCCCAGAGACCCAGTTCGGGGACACAGCAGGTAGCAACAAGCAGATGGCTCCACATCTGGGCCCCCAGGTAGCGACTAGCCCGGACAATGAGGGAGGTTCAGTTTCCTGACTCCACATCTGGGCCCCCAGGTAGAGACTAGCCTGGACAGTGAGGGCGGTTCAGTTTCCTGACTCCACATCTGGGTCCCCAGGTAGAGACTAGCCCGGACAGTGAGGGAGGTTCAGTTTCCTGGCTCCACATCTGGGCCCCAGGTAGAGACTAGCCTGGACAGTGAGGGCGGTTCAGTTTCCTGATTCCTGGATCATTGCCATCCCACTCTGCTCTCATTCCTTCCCTTCCCTCCTCCATCTTACTCTACACAGATCCTTCAGTGACAGTTCCGATCATAACACTTAATTGTCCTAAACCCTTCTATGGCTCCCTATAACCTACAGGGCTGAGTCCCAACCCGTGGCTGATTCAAACAGTTCTGCTTAGATTGCCTTTTGTCTTGGCAAATCAGAGCCCAGAGGTTGGAGCAAGGCCCAAGGTAAGTTTGATGAGCTGGGTGACCTTAGACAAGATGTCACATTTCATTGTTCTGAGCTACAGTTGTTGAAAACAATCCTAGGGCTCTTCCAAGTCAGAGCTAGACTTTGGCTAGGAGGCCTCTCTGCAGTGTTGCCAGGAGCCTCTGCTCTCTCTCCACATCATCAGAATGCCCAGCAAGATGCCCACCCCTTCTCTCGTTGCAGGTCTGTTCATTTTCATAGCTTCTGTCCTTTTCAGGGGACATCTGCCCACATCTCCTACTCAAGGTTTAAAGACCTATGTGAGGTCAGTGAGATGACTCATCAGGTAAAGCTTCCTGCCACTAAACAGGACAACTCCAGTTGGATCTCCAGAATCCACATGGTGGAAGGAACCTACTCCTGCACGGTGTCCTCTGACCTCCAGATGAATACCACTCCATAAATAAACACACACATTTAAATAAACTTTAAAAAGATGTCTGCCCCTGGGCACACTGCACCCAGACACCACCCCTCAAATCTGCCTTTTGAACTGCTCAAGAAGTTGCACCCTTCTGCAAGCCCAGCTTCTCTGCCTTTTCCTACCAAGCAGCTGACAGCCACGGTGTAATAAATAGTCTGAATGGGAGAATCTAGACAGGGGTCATCACACAGCATCCCTGCCCCCATTCACTGTGACTTAGTCCTCACACTGAGGCCCCTTCAGCATCCAGGCTGGACTCACACCATCCTCCTGGTCCTGTGCCTCCATATACCTCTCCTTTCCTGAGTTATCTTGGAAGTCTTTATTCTAGGGAGTCTTTATCCACTTAAAGCTTGAGACTGATAATCTCTCTCTCTCTCTCTCTTTTTTTTTTTTGGTTTTACGAGACAGGGTTTCTCTGTTTTGGAGGCTGTCGGTCCAGCCTGGCCTCGAACTCACAGAGATCCGCCTGCCTCTGCCTCCCGAGTGCTGGGATTAAAGGCGTGTGCCACCAACGCCCGGCGATAATCTCTTTATAGTCAGCCACTTCTTGCAATTTCCTATCATAGGGGACAGCAAACCTGCTGTGCATGGAGAGCATCAATTTCTTCCATGAGGTTTCTCACTCACTCACTGATTTGTTGGGAAACTACCAAGTGCCAGAATGACTGGGGTGCTGGGGGAAACTGCAAGGACTTAATCAAACTCCAAGACCCCCACCGACTCTATATTCTTGGGGCCTCCCTGAGGATAGCACCTTCTATAAACAGATGGCTAGTGGTGTCGTTGTTACCTGGGACATAGCACCTAAGGCGCTTTTGGCTGAACGAGCTGCACCCTGAAGACCCTGCTGCTCTGGCTCTGGGGTTTCCAGGCGTTTCCAGGAGGGTCCAGTCCCGAGGTTGAGGCTGACGGCTCTCAGTGGCAGCCTCCTTTGGAACTGTCTGCACAGAGAGCCCAGGGGACCGATCTCCAGATGGCCCTCAGCAGAGCAGGTCACCGCCTTCTCTAGATGTTCCTCCTTTAGGAGTGATCGCCTGCGCATGGAGGCCGTCATGCCCTGCCACTGAGACGCCATGTGCTTGATCCAGTCTCCTCTGCCTGTTAGATCCTGGGGAGGTCAAAAGGTCACCGGCTTACTCCCTGGCGCTATTCCCAGGCGTCAGAGACCCTGGGAACTGGGGAAGAGATGAAATGGAACCTCTCTGAGAAGGCCTGTTGCGCAATTGTGGATGCCAGAAAGATGACCATGGCGTCATGGTCAGCAGCTGCCTCGACTGTAAGGAGGCAGATCGTCTGTCCTTCAATCTCAGCCCCCTTCACTGAGGCTCAGCAGAGAAGCACAGAGGTTACCGAGCCTCGGCGCTTATTCAGGGCACCATCAGCAAGTGACTTTTTCCCAAATTCGTGCTCCTCTATGGAGCAGACCCTGGCCACCCCGCCAAAGCCTCGAATTCGATAAGGTGCTTTAAATTTCCAGACACCCCTTTGCGTTGCGGCTCTTGTCCAGAGCTCCTGGCCCGCTCCCCTCTCGGAGCTGCCCGTGAGACCCCTCCCCAAGCCCGTCGATGTCCCCGTGCGCTCACCTGCCTGCCTGATACCGGGGATCAACACTCGCTCCTTGCCCACCGCTGTGGATTTGAAACTCCGCGCGGCCCCGCCCCAGTCTGGTGCTCGCAGTCCATTGGCCCCATCAGTCCTCCACCGCCACCGCCTCTGAATTCCTATTGGTCTGTTTCTCTCGCGACCATAAATCGTGCTTTGGGATTGGCCGGACCACGCCCATACATCTCTGGGGACCCCCGCCTGAATCGCTGCAAAATGTCCAGCAGAATGTCACCGCCCAGCCTCCTTGCCACCTCCCAGTTACTCGGTTTGGGGTGGTCGCGCTTTGTCCATCGCATACCCAGGCCCTTTCCAGAGCTTGTGGTCTGGCTGCTCTGCGGGATGCTGCGAAAGTGCAGGTCACGGCCACCCAGGGTATCCCTTCAGGTCCTTCAGCCCCCATAACTCGCATCCAGGACTTTTGTAGAACGTTAGGCTGAGACTGCCGAGCTCTGCGTTCCCTGGGAAGTTTTGTTTCAAATTCCCCGCCTGAACCTCTTCCTTCCTGAGAGATTGCCCAGCCCCTGTCAGTTCCTCAAACTCACCACCCGGCTGGCGCCCAAGAAAGCACATCTCAGAGGAGGGGCGGTCTGTAGACCACCCTCTCCACCCTTCAGGTCAGGTCCTCTGCTTGCTTGGTCTTGCCCCCAGATATCTTTCCATCTTCCCTTAGTCTCCCAGCAAGCTTAAAACAGCAGCAGCAGCAACAGCAATAACAAACAGCCTGGTTTGATTTCTCCTATGTGCCAGTTTTTATTTTTGTTGTTTTGATTTTTATTTGTATGATTTTATTTTTGTTTTAAATTATGTGTCTCTGTGTGGATTCGTGCATGTGAGTGTTTGCAGGGTCTGGGCGTGGGTGTGAGGCAGAAAAGGAAGTCAGATCCTAAGGAGCTGGAGTTAGACGTGGTAGTGAGTACCCCATGTGGGTGCTTACAATCAAACCGAGGTCCTTCTGCAAGAGCAGTAGTGCTTTTAAGGACTGAGCTGTCTCTCCCGCCCTCCCCCCTCCTCCTCTTCCTCCTCTTCCTCCTCCTCTGTCTCAGTCTGCCTGTGTCTTTCTATTTTTTCCTCTTTTTTTTTGATGGGCTCTTACTGGCCACATTCCTGGCTCAGCCTCCCCAGTACTGAGATTATGGGACCCAGGTGTGCCAGCACAATGGGGCCCTCTTACCTGCTTATCACTCCTCTCCCTTCCCATCCTTGCCTAAGCCTGGGGTAGGACTCCTAGAGACTCTTCAGGCCTCCTCCTGGTGTCTGCATTGTCTGCCCCTCTCCCTGCGCCTCCGTGTACACCCCCTATGAGGAGTGATGTGTATGCAGCACTTTCATGAACTCATACTCCCAGTGCTGTACAACCTTGGAGGTGACTGTGGTACAGAGCACTTAAGCTGGCCACCTTTCACTCAGTGGGAACGTGCAGCAGGGTGAAGGATCCGAATATCATCTATGCAGTGGCAGGGTCTGTGAGGACCAGGGTTGATCTCCCTCACTGCTGCTTCTCAGCCCTCACACCTCCTTCTCCAGCCTGCATCTCTCCCCTGACTCCTGAAGCCAGCAGTCTCCTGGGTCCTATCACCTCCTGCTGGCTACCTAGAGCCAACAAACCCAAGTTGGAGCCACCCTAGTTCCCAACCCCCCTTAAAGGTCTCCCTAATCTTACAAGTGGGAACTTGTGATTTATTAAACTCTTTTCTAAAAATAGGCTGGAAATGCTCATTTTTTACTTCCATGGGACTCAAGTTCGGCATGTCTGGAGAGATGAGTATTTCCACATCAAAGCTCCAATCATGAGGCAGAGAACCGACCACATGTTATCTAAACCCGAGACCCAGGGAATGAGCTGCCCAGGGCAGAGCGTATGCTTGTATTTATGTGTTTGTAGGTATGTGTCTTTGCGAGTGTGTGTTTGTCATTTTTTTTTGCACAAGGCATATCATGTTTAAGGCCACTCTCAGTAAGAAACCACACACACACACACACACACACACACACACACACACACACACACAATCCCAAATAAGTCTTCAGAGAATGGCTTTCGACTGTATGATGTGCTCTGAGAGGTTTTATTGTGCCCGGGCAGACAAAGGGCGTAGGCTGTGGTTTGCAAGCCATGACTCTCATGTGCATGCTGCCTTTGTCCTCAGCCTCTCTTCCATGGGACTGTTTACCAGGAGTCTCAGCCTGCTTATGTACTTGTGATCACAGACGGAGGAGGAGAGAGTGGTTTCTGTGAAAGCAGAGTTCACAGCGAGGGGATGTCTCAATGAAGATGAAACACTGGGACGTGGATCTCTCAAAGAGGACTTCACCGCATCCATCTCCTCAGCACCTGCCGCAGTGCCTGGCATGTCAAGGCGTTCATAATAATAGCTGATACTTTCCGAGTCCTCGCCATGTGCCAGACACTCAGTTGAGTGTATCGCTATGCTTCGTTCTCAGTTCCCACCGCAGCTCTAGGAAGGCAGATCTATTTTTATTCTCATTACTGATGACGGAGCTGGAGATTCAGACAGGCGAGATCCTGGGTCTCTGCCTCTGAGCTCTGTGTTCCTGTCTTTGGGTCCCACGTCCTTGCCAAGCATCTGGAACGTGTGCGTGCATGCGTGTGTGTAGCAGGAATTCTCAGTGCTTGCGGCTCTCTCCCCTTTTACCACTCGGAGACATAACTGGCAGACCAGGTTAATGAAGGGAAGTCTCCATGGCAACGAAAGAAGGCAGAAGAAGTATTTTCTTCTGAATGGGAAGCTGCTCCCTTCAGCCTTGTATGGAGAGTGGCTGCGGGGGGGGGGGGCTCCACTCAGGCGTGGCTCTTAGATGAGTGGTGGGTGCAGGGTCTCTCGCTCCATTGGAGGAGGACAATGCAGCAAGCAGCACAAGTGGGACTAGCTGGGGGGGGAGGAGAGGAGAGTGCTTCAGCAGCCCCCTCTCTCCCAGCTTCTTCCCCAGCCACAAAGCTTTCACTAGTTATCCCCACCCCTGGATTTATCACATCTCACAGGAAAAGCTGACACCCAACAGTTACTGTGTGCAGAATGCCAGGGGCCTTGGGAAGTGAGGGGGGCACAGGGACTTTACTGGGATTGGAGGTTGGGTGGCTTTCCCAAACATCTGACATTCTAGCTGAGGCACTGGGTGGAGAGTGACGTCAGAGACCTTGCCACATTCCAGGACTGACTGGACTAAGGCAGAGAGAAGCAGAGGGCATGGCTGGGGGTAGGGTGAAATGGGCAGGAGCAGAGGCCCAGGCTAGGACTGGAGCTTAGAATAGATCTGGGGTGGGAAGTCAGCTGGCTTTGAAGAGAGGAGCATGTGACCGGAACTGTAGTCCGATAGCGACTTTGAAAAGATTGGAGGCTGTGGCTGAATAGACATGGAGACCCCCATTGGCAGTGAAGCCGGCACCCCTTTGCCTCTTCCCTCTGCTATTTGCTTTTTGACTCTGCAAAGTAAGATGTGGGTACAGCAGCGAAGTGTCTAGTGTGAGAAGGACGGTGGCCAGGTCCTTTTCCCCCATTGTGCATCTGGTCAGGGTCTGGAAGTGTCCCAAGGAGAAACAGCCATTATAGAGCAGCGCACAGGCCACCCTCCATGTCAGGGGGTACTACCGCAGGGAGCTCGGGGCCAGCGCCTGGCCCTGGCCTATGTTCTCGGTCCGCCACACGGTCATGGCAATCACATCGACTGTCCGCTCTACTCCCTCAGCACACATGCCCCCCTAGGCTGCAGTGTGGCCGGAGAAAGATGGAAGGGAAGAGGAAAAGGCCTCTACACATTCAGTCTTCCCTGCTCCCCAAGACTGGGATGGAAACAAGCCCTGAGTTGGAGAGCTGGCACTCAGGGAGGGCTTTCTAGAATTCCAGGTTTCATACTCTGTATCTAACCAGTTGGTCCAGGTTTGCGATCCTTTAAGGCAAGGAGTCCTCATGGGAATAAAGACTTTTGAGGGTGGTGGGTATTGGGAGCCCCAGGACCCTGACCTTCCTGGAGAAGGGATTGAGGAAGGGTGGATTGGAGACACCCAAGGCCATGAGGCCATTAACTTTGATGTAGGAAGTTCCTAGCCCAGTTATAATGTCTCCCTGTGGCAAGGTCTTTGTTGTCTCTCTTGGTCTCAAGACACTGGTTTTGCAGTGCTTGGAATCCTTCCTTTATCGGCCTTAAGACTGGAGAGAAGCATGAGAATTTGAGCTGGCCACAAGGTGGCGCCATACACCAAGCCTTCACATTGCATTTTTCTTCTAGTCCCTGTAGGGGGGTCCCTGGGGCTTCTAATAAGCTTTGTCGGTCTCGCAGGACCCAGGACTGAGGCCCAGCCAGACCTAAGAGTGGAGGCAGAAGCTCAGTGCTATGGATGCCTCAATTTCCCTCAGAACTGTTCTGACCTCTCTTAGTTACCTTAAAGCCAGAACCCCGCTGTGGCCCTCTGCCCGCTTCTCCCAGCTCCCAGGAGGACAATGAAAGTGCTGAGAGACAGAAGCTGGACTGCGCTGACTGCTTTGCACGCACAGAGAGGCTATGGTGACTTCGGGCCTCCACTCCTTTCCCCCTCGGATGGCCCCAGGCCTTCTCCACTCCCTCGTCCCAGAAACATCCGCGGACCTCTGTTGCTGAGGTGCGACAAAAGCAAAGCCTGATGTAGTCACTGTGGGATTTGCCTCCACTGAGGAGTAAGATGGCAGTCCACGAGTTTGCAGTGGCCAGGTGCCCTACCTTCCTTCTGTCTCCCTCCCTGCCGGGAAGTCCTCTGGGTGTCAGCTTACCCGTCCCCCCCTCTGGTGGGATTACCTATTTCCTCAAAGGCCTCTAGCCGGGTGTCAGTCACATGACTGTTCCCTGATTTGGTAGGATTATCTAGGCCTGCACAAACCTCTCCCATACCAGCAGCATGGATGTCTCTCTACTCCTCAGTGTGGAGGGAGTCAAGAAGACCATTCTGCACGGGGGGATGGGAGAACTCCCTAACTTTATCACTGGCTCCCGAGTGAGTACGCCTTCCCCCAGACAGGACCCCATGGTCCCTTTCTCCGCTCAGGGCATTGAA